GTTCCTATGTTTCAACATGTTCCTACATGTATCATTCATGTTCCTACATGTTCCTATGTTTCAACATGTTCCTACATGTTTCTACATGTTCCTAAATGTTTCTACTTGTTCCTACATGTATCATTCGTGTTCCTACATGTTCCTACATGTATCATTCATGTTCCTACATGTATCATTCATGTTCCTACATCTCTACATGTATCGTTCATGTTCCTACGTGTTCCTATGTTTCAACATGTTCCTACATGTATCATTCATTTTCCTACATGTATCGTTCATGTTCCTACATGTTCCTATGTTTCAACATGTTCCTACATGTATCATTCATGTTCCTACATGTATCGTTCATGTTCCTACATGTTCCTATGTTTCTACATGTTCCTACATGTTTCTACATGTATCATTCATGTTCCTATATGTTTCTACATGTTCCTATGTTTCTACATGTTCCTATGTTTCTACATGTTCCTATGTTTCTACGTGTTCCTACATGTGTCATTCATTTTCCTACTTGTTTCTACATGTATCATTCATATTCCTACGTGTTTCTACATGTATCATTCATGTTCCTACATGTATCATTGATGTTCCTTCATGTATCATTCATGTTCCTTCATGTATCATTGATGTTCCTTCATGTATCATTCATGTTCCTTCATGTATCATTCATGCTCCTTCATGTATCATTCATGTTCCTGCATTTCTACATGTTCCTACATGTATCATTCATGTATCATTCATGTTCCTATATGTTTCTACATGTTCCTACATGTATCATTCATGTTCCTACATGTTTCTACATGTTCCTACATGTATCATTCATGGTACATGTTTCTACATGTGTCATTCATGTTGGTACATGTTTCTACATGTGTCATTCATGTTGGTACATGTTTCTACATGGGTCATTCATGTTGGTACATGTTTCTACATGTGTCATTCATGTTCCTACATGTATCATTCATGTATCATTCATGTTCCTACGTTTCTACATGTTCCTACATGTATCATTCATGTATCATTCATGTTCCTACATGTTTCTACATGTTCCTACATGTATCATTCATGTTGGTACATGTTTCTACATGTATCATTCATGTTCCTACATGTATCATACATGTTCTGTATCATTCATGTTCCTACGTGTTTCTACATGTTCCTACATGTATCATTCATGTTCCTACATGTTTCTGCATGTATCATTCATGTTCCTACATGTTCCTACATGTTCCTACATGTATCATTCATGTTGGTACATGTTTCTACATGTATCATTCATGTTCCTACATGTATCATTCATGTTCCTACATGTATCATACATGTTCTGTATCATTCATGTTCCTACGTGTTTCTACATGTTCCTACATGTATCATTCATGTTCCTACATGTTTCTACATACATCGTTCATGTTCCTACATGTTTCTACATATATCATTCATGTTCTTACATGTATCATTCATGTTCCTATCTGTATCATTCTACGTTTCTACATGTATCATTCATGTTCCTACATGAATCATTCATGTTCCTATCTGTATCATTCTACATTTCTACGTGTTCCTAGATGTATCATTCATGTTCCTACATGTTTCTACATGTTCCTACATGTATCATTCATGTTCCTACATGTTTCATTCATGTTCCTACATGTATCATTCGTGTTCCTACATTACATATATCATTCATGTTCCTACATGTTTCTACATGTATCATTCATGTTCCTACCTGTATCATTCATGTTCCTACATGTCATTCATGTTCCTACATGTTTCCACATATGTCATTCATGTTCCTACATATGTCATTCATGTTCCTACATGTTCCTACCGGTATAATTTGTGTTCCTACATGTATCATTCATGTTCCTACCTGTATCATTCATGTTTCTACATGTATCATTCATGTTCCTACATGTATCATTCATGTTTCTACATGTATCATTCTTGTTCCTACATGTATCATTCATGTTTCTACATGTTCTTACATGTATCATTCATGTTCCTACCTGTTTCATTCATGTTCCTACATGTATCATTCATGTTTCTACCTGTTTCATTCATGTTYCTACMTRTWTCATTCATGTTTCTACATGTATCATTCATGTTTCTACATGTTTGTAAATGTTCCTACATGTCTTTACAGATGTAAAGAGTTTGCAGGGGAGGCAGGGCTCACTCTAGTTTTCCTATATAATTCTATGCTGAAAGTTGATCAGCTGTGTTTGCATCCAGCGATTGTTACCTGAAAGCTTTGTCAAAGTCCATACAATGGTTAATTAAATATTTTGCCAACAGACGGAGCTACCTTAATGTAATTAATGGCAACATTGGAACTACAGAGACTGATTTGCAGATCAGTCTCAGCTATTACCACACTGAAGACAAAACACAAAAGTTGTGGTCCATTTGTGAAAAATTGCCAGTTTTGTGTTGTGTTTGTGGCAGCAGCACAGGCTGAAACTCTATCTCCAGCTTGTTTCAAGTTTTGTAACAGATGGCTGATATGTATATGTACAATTTATTTCTTTAGGTCTGTTCGACTTCTATAACGATGAAGCCAATAAGCTGTACATTCTGAGTATGCCCCTGGCTCATAAGTTGTCCTCGGTGGTCTTCATTATGCCGTACCATGTGGAGCCTCTGGAGAGGCTTGAGAAGATCCTGAGCAGGAAGCAGCTGGACACATGGATGGAGAAGATGAAGCCCACTGCAGTGGCTGTTTCTCTGCCTAAAGTCAGCATGGAAGTCAGTCACAGCCTGCAGGTAAACATGCAATGACATCCAGACTCAAACAGGCCATTCTGGGGTCAGCAGATCTATCCAAACATACTCAAGACAACTTTCTGTAGCTGCTCGCTGCAAACGCAGCAAAGACAAAAAGASAGCTCCACATGTAAAATGCTGATATTACTACTTCTGGAAATATGTTTCTGATTCTGATACAGAGTAAAGCTCAGTCTGGTATCAGCAATACTAATACTTTGTGCAAATACACCTCATATGTATTTAAATCAGAATAAAAGTCAGAAGTATACTGATGCAGTGTCCTCATTCGCAACACAACCCAGCTGATACAACACAAAACCCAATGAGACACCAACCCAGTGAGACACTAATTTGCTATTGCTAAGCCAACCGCTAACAGAGGGAGCTCAGGGGAAGAAGAATGAACATTGATCCAATCTGATCTGATTTAAATCTTTGAACACACCATCAGATTAATTAAGCAAGATATTTCCTACCGGCAAAGTTTGTAGAYGCYAGAATGGATGTTTCTATGCTAACTGGGCTGGCACGTGAAGTCCAACCGAGTCTGTGACTTAGCTGTGCAGAAGCTCCCTGGTCATCTGGATTGCCGGGCTGCATTTACTGGAGATATGGCCCAGCGCACCGCTGCTGATGCATTCCTTGCGGGCACACTGAGGGTCGTCCGACTTGAATTAAATCAGCCTCATTGTTTTCAATCAATGTAAATCTACTTCCTGAAAGCACCTTAAGATTAAACTATAAAAAGGAGAAAGTGGAAAAGAATGGCCTCGCCCCGGGATGGGGGAAAGCTGTAGCTGGAAAAACTGCCCTCTCTTCAAATGCTTCTTCGAACTCTCTACATGGCAGAACAATGAAAATACTCCCTGTTCACAACGGAACTTCTCATTGGTTAAGACTTTCTGCGGTGGTCACATGACACTATCCGGACATGTAACAGAAGAACAGAGTAATAATTAATCAAAACCAGATCAAGTTACTTAAACAATGTCATGATTATTACAGTAATTAAATAAGAGTACCAAGGTATTGTTTTGACACTTCACAGATGCTTTTTATAGTTATAAATGGAAAACATGGGTGAAAAATAAAATATTTTCATGGTTTATAGATAAAATGTCCACAGGGTGGCGTTGATGACCCACAGATAAATCTGATGGGAGTCTTTTGATGTTTTTGTCTCGTCTGGTTTAACATCAGGGGCCCTTTGATGTCAAACAATGTTTATTCCAGTCTTATTCCGAAAGAGGTGATAAACAAATTAACTGGCAACAGGAAGTCTAGTCTTTGTTCTAAGGCCTAAGGGAGAAGTATCAGATGAATTAACAGGAGAAGTCATTATTCAAACTTTGAGATGTTGCAGGCAGGATGAAAAAGGTGGAGTTAACAGGAACAATAGTTTGATTGTCTCTTGAGAAGATATTTACRTTTCTGCTACATAGTTATGGGGAAAATATTACATCAGCAATTATTTTATTACCTTTTAAATTGATTTCTGGAGATTATCTAAGGTGTTTCATGACCCATAATTGGGTCCCAAGCCCAACAATGGGAACCAAAGTACAGTGGTTCCCAAACTTTTCAGCTTTTGACCCACAAAATAACAGTAACAGAGACCTGTGCCCCCAACTATTTTTGGATGATAAATATTTGTATCAGGTCAACTAAACATGGGCATAGTAAAAACATATTTTATACTACATTTGTCCATTTTAAATATACTAACTTTACTTCTTTGTAACAACTAAGGCAAAAATGTAATTAATTCAGAAAATCTTTTCAGGACCCCACCTTGATGTTTCGGGACCCCACTTTGGGTCCAGATCCTAATTTTGGGAAACACTGGTTTAAGTAAAACTCTAGCTAAAACTAAGAGAAAGCATCCCTCTTCTGTCCTCTACACTCATCTTTTAAGTATTGAATCAGATGGATTCTGGTCCTGGTTCTGTGTTTAGTTGGTATCAGATTAAAAGTAATTGTGCAATTTGCACATTACTAGCTSTCTCTTCTGATTCTTGATCTTCACAGTTTTTCTTTTCCTTTTTTTCAGAAACCACTTCAGGAGTTGGGCCTGACGGAGGCTGTGGACAAATCCAAAGCAGACTTGTCCAACATCTCTGGGAAGAAGGACCTTTACCTGTCCAACGTGTTCCACGTCACTGCGTTTGAACTGGACACAGATGGAAATGAAATTGACAGCAGTATCTTTGGCACCGACAAACTCAAAAACCCCAAACTGTTTTACGCTGACCACCCTTTCATTTTCCTTGTGAAGGACCAGAAAACAAAGTCAGTCCTGTTCATCGGCAGGATGGTCCGGCCCAAGGGGGAGAAACTGAGAGATGAACTGTGAGCACATGTTGGCACAAACAAGTTGTTTGATTGTGTTGGTGTAGCCTTCAAACAAAAAAAAAATTTAATGAATGTTTTATAGTTCACTACTGCATTCCTTCAGTCAAAACTGTTGTTGCCGTTTTAACACAAATATTTTTAATGTCTTTCAATTCAGGATGTTTTTTTTTTATGAAAATGTAAAAAGGATTTACTGTTTCAGACTTTCATCCACATGGAAACAGTGTTTTATGAACCCCTAAACATTTTTTTACTGAAATCCAAAATAAAAAAAAAATACTTTGGAACACCACACTAACCTTTGGAAACAGTGATGACCTACACTCATGACAAAGCAACAACAACAAACATGACCAACAGAACAACAACATGTTAGTTACCTGCTTTCAGTTAGCTCCTTCTTGTTTGGTTGAACTCTTGTGAAAAACGTTAGTCCCAGCAAATGATTCAAGTAAAGTTTAACTCCTTTGGTTGTAGTGTCGTAATACTCAAAACCAGTCATGGTCGTAAGACCACTTTTTGATGGTCTTGTCTTGGCCTCAGTCTTGTTTCGGTCTTGGACAATGAGGACTCATCACCAAGAAAGGTAAGCTATAAGTGATGTTAGCAGCTGTGGCAGAGTGGTTAAAGGAGTTGTCTTGTTACCGGTGGGTTGCCAGTTCTATTCCAGCTGTCTTTGTCGTGTTATGGGCTCAAAACACGAGAGGCGATGTTGCTCTCTCTCCATGAATTTCCTATGGAACTTGTGTGAATAAGTGACAATCTCTCGCACTCCTCCAGCCAGGAAACCAGCAAAACTCATTCATGTGAAATTTCACACTCGTGCACGGAAACGTGCACACTAGAGCTTGCAATGTGATTTATGAAAGTTGACAAATGTTCAGATTTTGTCGCGGTTGCATGGTGCTTTAACCAATCAGCAAGGGTTTCATTGACTGACCAATGGCAGGAGGGTATGCTACACAGTGAGCTAACATTTTCAACATTATTTTAGCTCTGTCAAACTTTACAGTTTTATTTAACCCTTCACAAGTGATTATTAAGATGCACATAAAAAAGGCAACAGTATGGAAATTCTGTCTATTTTTCTTTTTCAATATCATTAGCATCGCAAGATTTGTTTAGTTTACACGTCCGTAATGCACACTTTTTTTTGCTAAATATTTTTTTCTCAGTATAATGTTATATAAGAACACGTTTGGAACACATATGTATTTCATACTACGCCTTCCACCATTTGCCGTATCTTCATCATGACTCCTATTTTGTGTTCCAGTATGTGATGGGAACCAAAAAGCAAATGGTCTGGTCTGTATGGGTGGGTTTGCGATACACGTCAGTTTCTAGCCGTCCTCCGTCCGAAACTGAGACATCACAGTCCAGGAACRCCAACCTGTCACCAACCAACGCTGTCATTGCAAATATGACTCAGCCCCCTGTGAGCAAAAGGTGTGAATCAGGGCCCCAATGGCACCAACACAAAGAGGGAAAGAGAGACAAAAACAAGGGGACGTTGAGCCCCGCTTGCATTCACTACATACACATAACATGACACGGGTTATGTGATGGGGCACATGACCCTCTATGAACAATAGAGCTAATCATATTCTGTATATTTTTGCACCTGCTACAATCTACATGACCAATATCTCTTTGCATAAATTAAAAAATATTTATTGTTTACAGTTACAGGTTGTGGCAGAATGGTTAGGGGAGTCGTCCCATAACCGGTAAGTTAGTGGTTCGATCTCCTGTTCCAGCTGTCTTAGTTGTTGTGTCCTTGGACAAGACACTTCACCCACCTTGCCTACAGATGGTGGTCAGAGGGTCCGGTGGTGCCGGTGCATGGCAGCCCCGACTCTGTCAGTGTGCCCCAGGGCAGCTGTGGCTACAATGTAGCTTACACCATCAGTTTGTGAATGATTGAAGTGCAAAGTGCTTTGGGGTCCATATGGATTTGATAAAGTGCTATATAAGTTTAAACCATTTACCATTTATCTGCCTTGTGAAAGGCTACAATTTGCTGTTTTTGTGTTTGCAAATAAAGTATAATAGTGATGAAAAGGTTTAAAAAGGTTTGCGTCTGGAGCTGTCTTAAATGGATAGGTTAGTTATTTTTGACTTGATATTAGCCTGAGGACCTTGACGAGTTAAAGTACCTGCAGTCAGGAGGTAAAACATCTGCCAAGGCGTTCGACTCACCACTCGGCATCCAAGTCTCAGTAATACAGAAAATACTGCAGAGACCCCTTTCTGGAAATGCATGAGGTAAAAAAATTAAAAACAGGAGACAGAGAAATGTAAAAGCAATACATAGAAATAAAGACTTGAGTAGAATTAATTTAAAAAAAATTAAATATAAACATTTAAGAGACTATGACAGAGTATTAGGGCCACACAACGAGATTTTATTATTATTATTATTACTATGAGATTAGAGTCAGAATTTTACGAGAATAAAGTTATAATCTTACATGACATGTACTGTATTATTCATGTATAATACTAGAAAATTTACCCAAAAAATCATCCATAAAGTGGCGAGTAGTATTATACACAGGTTATTGATGATTAGATTTTTCTTGCTTTTTAAGCTAAAAAAAATGATGATCATATTATACTCGAGATAGTATTATACATGAATAAATATATTTTCCATTTCTATTTTTTTAATTTTCCTCACACCTGTTGCGTACAGCCATGTGTTGTTTATAAAGTAGTCAATGATGACTTGGGTCACTGTTAGATTAATGTGCTTTCATCCAAATTAGCTACGTGACTATATCTGTCAATGCATCCATTAATTACAACAGATTCAGTTTATCATATAGTCGTTTGCACAATTTCCAAGTCCTGATACAGATAATTTGATGCTAATGTGCTAAAAGATTAACTATTTATTTTAAGCAATACTAAAGAACAACTTGACAAGTTGCTCAACATTCCTCATTTTAATACAGTAACTGCATGCTTTTTCGTGTAAAGGCTGGAAAATTATGACTTTTTTCTTGTAATAGTACAACTTTAATGTCGTAATATTATGACTTTATTCACATAATTTAAAAAAAATTAAAAATCTTGTGTGTCCCTAATACTCTGTCGTAAAGAGACACAAATGCATGCACAAGTAAAAGGAAAAATAAAAAATGTTTTTGAAAACAGTAACATTTAAATTAGCCATACTCTAAAATATGTATTTTTTGGAAAAAGCTGAAAAAATAAATATGAAGGTCAATAAATTTTGAAAACATGAGGTAAAGTTCTCCTTTTTAAATATAACCCTTTCATGCTTAGAGGTCACTACAGTGTACAGCTGTTTAAAAGTGTTTTTTTCCAGTTTTGGGCACTGTTTTATATAATACACTCTAGTGGAAGCTATTACATCATCCTTTACAAAAAAATCCTATTGGCTGGTCATTGCAATGGGAAAAATAGTCAATGAAACCAAGATGGCTGACAGATGGGGAGAACAACCAAACACTTGGGCTATTTCAGTTTCTACCTTCCATAAAAAGATACTATTGCAGGTAAAAAAAAATGATTACATCAAGTAACATCTAAGGTGACATATTATGTAAAGACTTTCCAAGTTTTGAGTTTATCTTTGTAGAAAATACAGATTAAACACATGTCCACTCTATTGTACATCATGCATCACTGGCTACGTTTTAACTTCAATGCAATGTCAGTTATTAACAATGTTGTTCTTGAAAATAATTCATATCCTATACAGTTTTGTTTGTAAGTCAACATTTTAGTATTATAATGTAATTTGAATTTTTTRTATATAAATCTTTATACAGTCTGGCCAAAAAATATATATTATACATGCTCTAAGGGARATTGCTATGAGAGAATATGCTCAGTTCAGAGACTTGACAAGAATACATTCTGATAAAAAACAGTTACAGTTAAGATTCTGTGAGGATCTACAGTTCAGAGTAGGGCTGCACGATATCAGGAAAACCTGTGATGTGTGATAACTGACAGKTTTTAACAGGAACGGATCCAGGGTGCAGGCAGGCTCCAAGAATATAACAAAATATTTATTAAATAACCGAAAAACTGCTGTAGAGACAGCYCAAACTTACAGGGACTCTCAAGGATCACACAGGCAAGAGGAACAGAACACAATGAACCGACACAAGACTGAGACAAGACAGGACTTAAATACACTGACAACTAATGGATGAACTGAAAACACCTGGTGAGAAACACAAGGGTGACAATCAGACTAATGGGGAGCAGCTGGGCTGAGACACTCTGGGGAAACATAGAAACACTAGGAAAACCAAGGTGAAAACTGACAAACCATGACAGTACCCCCACTTAACGATCGTCTCCCGACGATCAACAAGGAGAGGGCACGGAACAAGGGGTGACAG